GGGGTGAGGTGGGGTTTGGGTGGGGCTGCTACCCCCAACACGCCTCGTGCCTATCTTAAGTGCGGTGGGGTGGGGGTTAGGTGGTGCTGAACTTAAGGCGGGCACGAGGTTTGATGGGAGTAGCAGCCAGAGGGAAAATCAAAACTGAACACTACCAAAAAAGAAAAAAAAGAAAAAACAAACTGAACTTTCGGTTTGCATGTTTCAGTTTTTGTAATTGAAATTGAACGGAACAAAGCACATATTATAAAATGCCGACATGCGGCTGCACACAGTCTGCGGCTAATAACAGTCGTAACATTTGAACACAAAGTTATGTCGTGAAAAATGCCATGAAAAATAACAAATACAAAACGTATGTGCACAAAGAAAGGTTTCACAATGAACAATATGCACAATAGAAGAAAAAAAAAAAGCACTGCCTAATAACGAAAAAATGATGCTATTGCGACACAAAGTAATGGAACGTGTCAAAATTACATGATGCGGTCGTGCCTCTGACCAGTAATAAACACAAAAAGTCAATAGCGTCCACCATGTCTCGGTAAGGTCGTGGTCCGTCGCTCACCACGCATGAGTGTGCTTCTGTGTGCTGTGTGTATCGGCAAATCCTCCTCTTCGTCAGCCTCCTTTGCAACGGCATCAGTATGATATTCGTCGACCACCGTGATGTCATCCCGTCTGATCTCCCTATGTGACGCTGATATAAGGGTGTTCGTGCGACGTCTGCCTGACATTATCTCCAACCCCTCAACTCCTGTGGTCTCACCCTCCCGACGTGATGCTCGTAGATGTATCGGCCTCTGTGTCTTGGGAGGCCCCACGGCCTCTGTGTCCTGGGAGGCCCCACTACATCTGCCCCGAGGATCAATGACACCTCCCTCAATCCAGGAGTTGACACTCGTGAACCAGGCGCTGCACATCCACCTCCGTCCGCGCCCTCAACGGGAGCATCTAACCCGCCACGACGCTCGAACCTCCCTCGTCAATGACGTGGACGAGCGTCACCTCCCCAACCTTGGCTGCTTCTTCCTGCTAGCCGTCGTCGACTTCCTCGTGTAGCTCCATGGCACGTCAGTGCGCCCGAGTAAAGATGCACCCACGTCCCTCGTTGTCGCATCTCCACGCTCTCGTTGCCTGCCCGCCGCTGAGGTAGGCGCAGGCGACCGTGTCCTACGATCTCGTGCCACACTGGGAGGGGATTGTGCCACACTAACTCCCATGGCACCCAGCGCCACCGAACCATCTGAGGGTGGTGTAGGGCTGGCAGGGCCCCATGAGACGGACTGCACGCGTGGTAGAACTCCTTTGGCTTTCTTTGAGTCGATCCTCGCTTCACGTCTCGCCTCTGTGAGATTCTTCGCAAGGCACGCGCCCAACTCATCATCAGTCATCGCGCCGAGCATCAAACTGCCTCGGTGGTACTTTACGTACGAAGTGCCTCGCCTCTCACTGTCGTGCGGACGACGACGACGCTGATGAACGGACAAGTGGTGACCGACGTTGGAACGCAACGTTGGCCCATGCAATGGACGATGTGCGGCCGTCGATCCGTCCCCCTGAATGGGTGCTGGCACCTCAAACCCCCGAGAACAAGTGATCGACTTCATCCCTCCATCGGTCGGTGCAATAGGTGCCATGACAAATACTCCCTCCTCTGCGCCTGAAGCAGGTATAGTCGCACATGCGAGTGCATCCTCGTGAGGATCCTCACACGTGTCCTCCTCCAGCGCCGAACGAATCGAGAATGCCTCTCCCCCCGCTAGCACGAGACTCGCGTGAGTCGCGTCTGCCATGTCAACCTTCGCGTTGTCGAGCGCATCGGTCCGGCACCGCACCGAGGCAGCGCGGGACCCTCCCGGCCGCGTCACGCAGGAGTTGGTCTAAATCCTCATCGCAAATATATATATGGAGCTACCGCAAGCCGCTCCGACCGAGTGCGACAGCCATACCTCTCTCGAGCCCCTATGACAGGATAGGGCCTACGCGAGGCACGACTTACCTCCACCTTACGGGAGTTGTCACCTCCCTTCGGTGGGCATATCCCCGCTGAGCTACCAGTCCACAATACGAAAGTTAATCAGTTGCAATGGCAGAGGTGGATCAGTCGAGGGCGTTTCTTGTTCGTTGTAGCATAGGGGGTACACGCGGTAATACGCCTCTATCGGACCCGTACGTGAACCGACATCTTGGGGGGGCTGAGGTCCCAAGCGCGACTCGACGTCGGTCGACTAGGACGCATCCCACACACCAAGCGCACACCACTTGACGAACACAAAAAATAAAACACACACACGCACACCGAACAACGCGACAACGCTCCTAGCCCAACGGTAGCCATCCCATAATTTTTCGACGCGGAGATCGGATGGGCGTCGCGTGCGAGACTTAGTATAAAACCGTACGGGCGCAGGGCTAACTCATATCGACTCGCAATGCATACGTACGCAAGCGGTCGCAATGATGACGTACTATGTAGTACCCATACTCATGCGGTCCTCGTTAATCTCGAAGGTCGCATTCGACACTCAAGTGTCGGCTGACACGCGCGTTGAGGGTTAATCTCTCGACGTTGGACAACCTCCATGCGCGGTTGAAGACCACACACCCTCTTTTGCACTCTGTGCAGAGCGGGTGGTACACAGGTCCATACATGTGGTGGCAGTCGTTTCTTACTGCTCTGGGGATGAGCCCCACTCCGGGCCAGGATAAAAGTCAAGGGGTTTGACTTTGACGGCTGCCACGGACTACAACGTCAAACAATAGAAAACTCTTAAGAGCAAGAAGGAATAGGCCGAAGGTTCCCTTATTCCAAAAGAAAACGTGACCTTGGGGTACCCTCCCATTTTCGGGTGGTGCCCGCGGCCTATAGTAATCCCAAGCGTTCGTGCATATATGCGGGTCCCTTTGATCCCATAACTTTTAGACGCTAGGGCGGCGAAACGTCGCGCGCGGGATTGTAATATAAAGCTGCGCAGTTGCAGGCCAGTCTCATACCAACCAACGATGTCAGTCATACGTGGTAATCGTGGCTCCGGCCTCGCGATATTGAATGACTCAAGGAATATGTCGTTGGGGGTTTACCCCACACGATATTGGACGGCTAAAGGGCATGTCGTTCGACCCTCGCGATATTTCCGCCTTCAGGGCGGGGTGCCTCGACGGGCAGTGCAGATAGGCTCCGCACGAGGGGGAATCCCTCCCCTGTAGAATCTAGGGCTTGGGATGTCCTGGACAAGGACCTTAATTCCCGACCCAGGACCAACGTCCGACTAAGAAAAACCCCCAAGAAGCAAACAAGTAAAGAGAAGGGTCTTTCCCATACCTCTCAGTCTTAACCTCTCAACAAGTTTTTCACACGGGGCCCCTTAGGCCACGCAAACATTTATCCGAGGTACACCCATGCATAGATATGTAAAGGGTTAAGTATGTGACGATCACTTCTCACAGTCTCAGTGGGGTTCCTCACAACCATATGTATATATATGTGACTGCAGGCAATCAAATCCAGAATCTAAGCTAGAGCACATACCTGCAATCACATCAAAACATCAAACAACAGTCCACGCACGACACGGAGTCAACCCTAATTATCCCCGACACTCATACCCCTCGCTTTAGCCATGCAAGCCCCAACCTCCTGTCCAACCAACCATAATTAAATACTCAGTACTTCTGTTAAATGACCATTCAATAAAAGTCCGGGTGAAACCTTAATGAAACAATGAAATCACCACGGCTAAAACCTTTTAGGTTGGGTGTGGAAGGTGAGTTGGAATTGGATCGTAAACCGACGAATCGGCAACCGACCTGTTATCAGGGATAACAGAAGATGACCCTCAAGGGATCAAGCTGAATCTAGGCCTGAACTCGAATCAGACGATCAAGAGGACCTGTAACACATGACAGGTCAATGCCCCAGGCTAAACCTATAAGTCCATGGAGAACAACCTTCCTATCATGATCCTATCCAAATCATCCTAGTTAACTATATCTAAGCCTACCTCTTAAGCAAGCGCCCAAAGAAAGGTAGACTCATGGTCAAATCTCCCCTATTCAGAGTGGACTACCAGAATCGCCACCTGTCAAATTATAATCTCTCTCTTTCAAACTAAGAAAATTTTGGCAGCGCTTCCCGTAGAAAAAGTGTCTTTCCAGAATTTATAAAAGTTCAAATGTGACAACAGAAATAATCTTTAACTTTGGAAAGTCAAATTCTGTCTAACTCCCTGAATTAGTAAAAATTTGGGCAGCACTCCCTTTAGAAGGGGAGACTTCCCAGATTTATACTAAGTTAGATTTGAACTAAAAAAAACAAACCTGAGTCCAACTTAGACAAAATGTAACTAACTCCTCAGTTTTGCAGAAATTTCGGCAACACTCCTTTCAGAAAGGTGTTTTTTCAAAATTTATACAAGGCTAAGTTCAGAATTTGAAAGTGACTTTGACTTCTCAAAATCCAATTTTGTCTAACTCCCTGAATTAGCAAAAATTTGGGCAGCACTCCCTTTAGAAAGTGAGACTTCCTAGATTTTTACTAAGTCAGATGTAAAGAAAATACAAGTTGGACTTTGACAAGTCAAATATTGACTAACTCCTTGAATTTGTAGAAATTTCGGCAGTGCTTCCCGTAGAGAAAGTAGCTTGCCAAGATCTATACAAAGCCAAGTTAAAAAAAACGATCCCAGTAAATGCAGGAATTGACCTAAGTAAAAAAAAAATACTACAGAAAATGCAAGAAGTGAAACTAACTCCTATGGCTCTAGCACGTGGCGAGCAACTTAAACAACTACCCATCAATCGGAAACTCAGACTTAGTACTAGCCTCACTCAGTTACATGCAGGCCAAACCACAAAGGTAAGTGCTCTCACCACCCCAAAGTATACCTGAACAAACAATAGTTCATGATCTTTCAATGATTTAATCCCTTATACCCAGCTTACATAAGGCATAAGGTCAGGACACCCTAACTTATGGAATGACCCTTACCTTAGTCAGGCCTAAAGTCGGGCCACCCAAACTTATGGAATGAGTCCAACTTAGCCAAAGTATACACAAACACAGGGCACATCAACTTTTCTCTTCCTTGGGCATATGACTAGACCATTCTAGTTGCCCTGAATTGTTTAAGATATCAGAGAATGCACCTGGTCCCCTAAAAAGTCAACCACAATCAGCCCTCTTATGTCAGAGCAGTCAGGCCACCTAAACTTATAGAACAGTCTGACCCTCCACACAAACCACAGCATTGGGTCTCCCCAAACTTATGGGGACATCCCAGCCTCCGGAGCGATCAGGCCCCCTAAACTTATAGAAGAGTCTGACACTCCATGCAAACCAAAGTAAAGAAAGCATTGGGTCTCCCCGAACTTATGGGGACCTCCCAGCCTTAATGACCCAGTCAGTCTTCAAACAAAACAACCCTCCATCCTGCCTTTCCCCAGATGCAGTTCCTTTCAGCAATCTGAATTCACGCAATCAATAAAGTTGAGACTGAAACTTCATCAGACATTCCTTTACTTAGTCTTGTTCAGTGTCCTGAAAGTCAAACCAAAATAGAATAGGGTTGCGCATCATATATTCAATCATAGATGCATTGGGTGATATAGATAGGGGCTATAATCTGGGTTAATAGAGGGGAATGAGGGGTTACCTGACAGTTCCCTGCCTCCAGAACCCCTCCTGAGTTCCGGCAGAGCTCCCACAATCGGTGGGGCAAACCTCCCACAGAGGCCTTGGCGCGGATTACGGGTTGCAATCCCGCCTGCCGCCGTCCTCTCAGAACTAGTAGACTAGACTTAGAGTTAGAAAGATAGAAAGAGAAAGTCTCAGACTCTCAGATCCAAGGAGGGTGCTCTCAGACTCGCAGGAGAGGGCCTTGGTACCTTCAGCGCCTGAGGGCCCCGCAATGGTAGCCAATGTAACAGCTTGGTCAAACTGGAGTCAACTGCCAGCTCAGCCCCTTTACTAACTCCCATACCACAGCATCCATCTCCCTCTTCAAGTCCAATAGCGGCTGCACGTCCGCCTGTAACAGTCCTTGAGGGCAACAACAATACACAGTGGCGGTCGACAGCGATAGTAGTGGTCCGAGCCCGGTTCACGACAGCAGCATTTGACGGCGGTTAACAGCAACGACAACAATTGCCAGCAGCTGCAATCCATGCACAGTCAACAGTACTAGCGGTACACAGCATTATAGCTCAGCAGGCAGCGACAGTGGTACACAGCAGCCCGTAGTCCATAGTCTGTAGTCCGCAGTCCACTAGTCTTCCGCCCTCAGTCCACAGTCTTCCTCCCGCAGTCCACAGTCTTCTGAACACTTCGCTCGACAGACTGTTCAGCTTACCAACCTGCGGGTGGATTCACACCTCCTACAAACCGGAGCTCTGCGTTGGAATAGGCGATAGCAAGGGCAGCAGTGGTTAGTAGCAGACCAGCCCAAACCAACAAAGGCACAACTGAGGCAATCAGCAGCTCGCATAGCGGCAGGATAACACCAGATATTACAGTAACTAGAAGGCTCAGTAAGGGGCAGTCCGTCGGACACACAACATTGGTAGTAGCCTGAAACAGTCGTACTTAAATGGCGTTACCACCTTGCGGTAAGATCAGCAACCGCTGTAGCAAGAAATTCTGTCGGGCAACAGAGTACTCAATAGCGGATGCCTGTTAAGCAACCCTCACGTGCGTGACCGACTTCGCATCGGTCGGCTGCTCACATCAGCAGCCCTATCACCCTTGATCACACCTGTAATTCCGACTCCTAGAATCGAAGCGAGGCCAAATAGCTGTTGTACACAGAACCAGCTGTAGCCAATCAGTGGCGAAGGCCTGACCCACCAACTGCCCAGTCGACACTGCAGTAGCCCCAGCTTAAGCATAGTAGCCAGGCAGACTGGAACTCAGGTTACCGACGCACAGTCCGTAGCAGCCTGCATGCGGGCAATATCCCCTATCGTCACCCGTAGCAACCACCACGGTGCCTAACGATACCGCTAGCCCAGGTACGTACTCTCTCTTCCTCCTTCTGGTATCCCGCCGAACCGAGGTGACGCAGGCATCAGACTGCCGTCTCCGCAGGACTGGCTTACGCAGTTTTTCAACGGTTGGCAAATGCAGCCTGGTCAGCAGCCTCTTTCCCTGCACACTGTTTTCATGCTCCTTCATCTGCCATTCCTCTTGCTGCACGCATTTGCTCGATTCGACTCGGCTGCGAGTGCTCCCGCCCGCTCCTCGCCAAGAGGCTCGCGTGCAGGAAGACCCCTTCCCCCCTTTCTTTCAACGCGCACGCTCACTGCAGAAGGCCAGGCCTCATATAAATGTACACAAAAATAGAACATGCATCTTCCCCTATAACGTGGAAAGATACATCTTCGCTTTCGCACACTCCCTCTGGGCGCAGCTCTTAGTACCGACCCCGGGCACACCTCTATCCCATAGGAAAAACTTCTTTCGCCATTCTACTCGCAGCACCCTGAAGACGGTATTTGAAGCCTTATTTCGCTAGGTTCCATCGTGGGTCGGGAGAGAGCTCGATTATCCCTGTTACCACCTCCGCCATGTCCCGATACCCTGGCGCACTAGTTTGCTCCCCTACCTCTCCTCCTGCTACTCTCTCACCAATTCTGACATTAGATTCCGGTTCGCCTTATCCGAGAACACCTACTTACTATCTTTCTCCGCTCGAACTCGTCAGGGATCGGGCGAGGCAGATAACTTCTAGCTTCCCACTACTCGTCTGTAGTCGCCACCCTTCGTTCTTACTGCGCATGTACCTGGCGGTACCCTCGCCCCGATTCGTTGACACTTGCTAACTTCACCCTCGAGCGCAGCCCCTACTTATTGTATCTCAGAATCTAACAGCTACCATCTAAAACTAACCTTACAACGTAACTCGTAGCTATCAGGAACCTCCGTGACGAACCTTTCTTCGTCAAGAACCGCAGACGAACGACTAAATAACCCTGCTTTCTCTCCCGCCTCTCCTTCATTGTCTCTTCCTCCGTAGCTAGGCACAGCCCATCCTCTCATATCGGCTAACTCACTAACCCATTGCCGAAACTAACCCCACCACGACGGTCGCCCAGGTCAAAAACCTGAGATTCGACTCTTAGTTTGTCCGAATCGGACCACGACGGTCGCCCAGGTCAAAAACCTGAGATTCGACTCTTAGTTTGTCCGAATCGGCTATGTATCGAGGGCGCTAGGCGCTTTCTGCCCCCATCACCTCCTCTCACGTCCTCATCCTCGACTGCACGCGGCCCAATCTTTCACCCAGGTTCATTTCGCCCGGCTTACACCCGCCCTCGCTCATCAGCTCCGCTGCCTACCTCGTCTCCTCCACGATTAGGTGCGCTAAGCCAGGCACCGCTACGGGCAACAACTGACATAGGCCGGGGCCGGTGGCCGAAAAAATGGAAATCCGCTAAGTAGTAGTTGGCAGCTCATCTGCTGAATCAATCAGCCCTGGAGGCCGGTGGCCGCGGGTTCTTGTAGCGAGTAGGTTGGCACGGGCCCGCCGTTAGCCAGCAGCACGAGCCTGGGCGAAGCTGCCCTTAGTGCAGCTCTTGGTGGCAGTAACAGCTATTCAAATGGGAACTTTGAAGATCAAGTGGGGCGGTGTTCCGTGCGTTCCGCCGCTGCAGCCTGCAGCCCCCGTCCTGGCGCGCCTTCAGCTGTCCTCAGACTGCGACCCCTTGGGCCCGCTCAGAATGCTCTCCAGTTCTTGTCCCCTTCAGGCTATCGACGCTCCCCAAGTGGGGGGGGTGAGGGAAGCACCGACCACGGACTCCACCCACGTTGACCTTTCCAACCCTCCTTCAAGATGGGCGAGGCCAGGGAGTTCTGCCAACACCCAGTACGTCGAACGCGTCAGCCAAAGAAAAAGACGTACGCTCAAGGTCCTTGGCCGGCCTTTGAAAATCCGTACTTGGCCTAGTCGGAAAACGCGAAAACAAAGTAGAATAAAAATTAAATTTAAAACCTTCCCAAAGAGAAAAGCGAAAAACTAAGGGAACCGGGGCGCGGAACTTACCGCAGCTCCTTTCCTCGGCCCTGCGAGGCGGGCCTGCTATCGAACTTCCACGACAAAATTAAAGGGGGATAGCCCCGCGGGACCCTCAACCCCTCAATCCTTCCAATGCTCCTTTGCTCCTCCGCTGTTGCCCGCTAGCCTCGAACCTCGTACCTTTGTGGTGTCAATCCAATGTCGTAACCTATAGGGCTAAGCCCATGCCTAGTACTAGCATGCGTGGCCACCCACATAAGGTGCTACCGCGCGGCGCTTATGGTCAAGGTACCGCCCCGGTCGTTCCTTCACTCCTCATTTGCCCCCACGGCCACTGGGTGTCCGCACCGGCCTACCAACCCGCGCCTTAGTCTTCCCGCACGCCCACCGGAGCGCCAGTTCTACCCCTGGCCAGGCATGCCGGCCAATGGACTCAAAGAATTCCAACCCCCTGGTTTAATCACGGGAAAAGACCAACCGGTCAGCCACACCGGCTTCACGATCAAAAGGAGAAATCACACGCGCACCTTGAACTGCGCGCTCACATACCCTCCACTTCCGATCAATTATTCAGTCAGCATAGCTCTAGGACATTACCAAGCCTTACACAACATACTCTGAACTTTCAAACTAGACTTGTTTTCTTGTCAATTGCAAAAACCAGGGCGGATACCCTTGTAAGGGTATCCGCACCGACAGTGTCTCCTGCCCGCACCTCTCGTGGATCCTCCAAAACAGTCGTGTCTCTACAATCCACCACCTGTGTAGCCGCCGCCTGAGCGGCATCAGGCTCTGCCACAGTGGAGTCACCCAATCTCTCAACGGTCGCCTCTCCATCCTGTACCTTTGCTACGCAGGCCGCATCTCCATGATGTGCCTATGTCGCGATGAACTGACGATATCGAGCCCGTGTGTCTCACTCCCTCTCTCTATCCGCATGCGAAGTGTCGCCACCTGCCTCCTCAACGAACCCGCGAGACTCCAATGCCTGCGTGTGCGCAGTGGCACCTGCGCCCTCCAACACGGGATCCTCCGCGACCATGTCATGCACGTCCTCGTGAAACCTATGCACTCCTGCTCCCGCACTCGCCGACATCACCCTCCTTACCGTCTCTAGCTCACGTCTAGCCTCCATGTTACGAGCCATTGCCTGTGTGCGTGGGTCGACATCGGCTAAGGCCTTTGCCGTCGCGGCCTCCTCCTCATCCTCCCTTGCCTCTCGAGCCATGCGCTTGTCCTCTGTTTCGGGTGCAGGCTCTTCCGTGTGAATCGACCGATGTTGAGGCCAGACCACCTCGGCGTCGCCCTCCTGCGCAAGAACGGCCTCACCCTCCGTCATGGAAGAGAGGGTGGCCTCGAGTTCCTTCATGAAATCGTGCATGGATGCTGATTCCATAGCCTGGTCCCCGAGTCCAGCCTGGTCATGATGTGCCCCCTCATGAGCCTCATCATCCAGCTCCCTGCGACATACACTGCCACCGGGAGGCTCCCCAAGCGTTCCCAGGTCCACTAGCGACCAGGCTCTCCCCAACCCAGAACCAACACCACCACCCAAATCTCGTCTCTGCCCTCCCTCCGTGCCCGCACCCGGTGATGCCGGAAGCGACTCCGAATGCAGTATGAGTTGTCTCTTCGGGTTCTTCAGACCCTTCCTAAGTTGTTGAAACACCCGTCCCTCGCCATGACCCCCTGATTGGTCGTCGTCATCTGATGAACCCCGTACAACGGAAGATACACCCTCGGCTGTCGGACACTGTCTGTCATGGGTTCCTCCCATGCCTCCTGTGTGGGCGGAGACGAGGCAGGCCCAACGTGTCCGGGGGGAGATGAGGTCAAACCTAGCGTCACGACATGAGGGCGCCCCGATCCGCCCCAACATCCCTCAACTCCATCCATGCCCCTCCCTGTGTCCTCGAATATATCTCTGCCCCCACTACGCCAACGAAGTTCCTCAGGGTCACTCCATGCACCGTCGTCCTCTGCACGTGGAGATCCTGCACCGCCGCAGGGGCGAAATCCCTCATCATGCACCTCGCGCTCATCTCCACTAGAGTCATCTTTCGGGTACGGCCTCAAAGTGGTGGCCCGGACCCCGAAAACATCCTCGACCGGCGGCGGTGGTCGTGAACCACAAGCATCCCGTCGCCAAAACTGCGCCTGTGCATCACGATCCTCCTCCGATATCCTGTGGTCCACCCCCTCACAGATAGCGTCTTGAAGAGTCAGAAGTCGCGTGTTGGTCGTGATCTCAACCAACTTCGCGACCTTCGGGAACAACAACCGGTTATGCTTCTTCGTTTGAGTACTCTCGTGGATGGCCCAGTTCCTCTCTGCGGGAGAGGAGCACGTCCACATATACATGACACGAAGAGCGATACGCTGAAGCTCCGGAGCCGCCATACTGTGACCACCACAGACCGCACTCGGCGGTCTCCTGCTCCCCAACACACATCTCCACAGTGGTGCGCGCCCACTCCCCTCCCCATGAGCAAATTGAAGTCGGCATGTGAAAGTGTCGCAACTGCAACACAGCGTCTCGGTACTCCTTGCGTCGCTCATCGAATCCTGTCTGCGACAAAATGTATCACTATGCCTCCCTCACAAGCCGTGCGTCCTCATCCTTAACCACACTGTTGTAATACTGCATCGACCACCACATCGGGCAGAGGAGGTATGCCGCAGCGTGCGCAGGCTCACACATATGAGCAATGTGGTCTTGCACCCCCCTGAAACTTTGGTCCTCCAATCCATCATCGCGCGGAGCAACGACTGCCTCCACGTCCTCCGCCAGCCGCTCCGCCCAGTAAACCACTCTCGACATGCACTGCCTTCCGCGATCCATCTTGCACAGCAGATCATAAACGGGCTCCATAACGACACGCAAGATGTCCATGGAGTCCCACCACCTGCCGTGCCGGATTTGCCACCGCACCCAACGCGCATGCTGCCTGATCGATGTAGTCACCCAAGTCTCCCTGCACCAGCCAGTCCCGTCCACCATCTGCTCCAAAGGACGTCGGACAACATCTAACCTCTCTAACATCGCGTAGACAGAGGCGAATCGAGTCTCACACGAGTACAACAACCCGAGATGGCGACTCTCTCCTAAACAGGAAATGCGCTCGGCCGTGCATTTTTATAAAATGCACTACCGCTCTCGCCTGCACAATAATATCCACGCAGCACGGACCCGCTGTCCCGATGTCCGACAACAACTTGTTGCACACGTGCGCCACGCACGGGAACCACGTGATGCATCTGTACTCCGGCCCAATATGTGGATCGGCCAAAACTTTGCCTGCCTTTACATAGGCAGACGCAAAGTCTGTGCACATTGCATTGACCCTGTCTGAACCGAAGTCGTGGAAGAGTGATATCCACCTCCCCAACACTGCCAACGCATCATCGGACTCACCTTCCCTGTTCAGGGTGCTCCACATCATCACTCCTCGAGCACCAGCTGCTAGGAAGTTCAAGATGGGTCTCCCATCGCGAGACTTTCTGTTGTCGGACAGGATGGTGGCCCCTGTATGGTTAAATGACTCTTGTATATCCTTAAGACCGGCAACAACGTCGATTATCGTCTCGACCACCGTATCCATTGCCGCGACTTAGTTCTCAGAAGGCCAAATCACGGGCACTTCAGGGGGTTTGTCCCTGAAGTGTGTTGTATACGGCTTCCATGTGGGGCTCCGAAAGATGTTGAAGGCTAGTTGGTTGCTGTACACGAAGCGCAACCACAACTTTCTGTGTTTCGCAGCCGAGTCAGACCCGAACACCTCTTTTATCGTTGGCTGCCTCATCTTCTTTCCCTGCTGCATCATGGCACCGTCCATATCCTTTCTCTTTTCTAAATTCGAACCACCATCACAAACGGCCAGCTTGCTTGGCCGCTACGAGTATGTACCCGTGTCCTCCCCGCCGCCCTCTCCCTCGCCATCCAAATCGATGACGCCATCGCCCTACTGTCATGCCCCAACTGGGGCTCTGGACGCCGCCCTCACCTCATTAGGACCTCCGCCAGGAATCCTATCATCCACCCAAGCACCGTGAAGCTCCTCGTACTTGCGGATTCGTTCCAACCACTTTCCCTTGAACATGTACCGACTCGTGTAATGCATGTCCATAAGAGCTTCGTCAGTCACCTGTGAACAACCCTTCATGTTGCGAAAATGTCGTGCCGCCCCATGGCTGTTCCCTTGCCACTCGTTGGTAGAGAACACGCACCGAAGCATCCTCTAACCACGGAGCTTCTCATAAAGCTCCTGACAAATAAGCACATACTTGTACACGCTGTTCGAATTTCTCATGCTCGCCTGCGTGTCATCCCTTATTTTTAAGAGTACGAAATATTCCTTTCTTCCTTTTTTTTTTTTTACGGAGCATCTTTAATCTGGGTGGTACGAAGTGCCAGGTGAGATGGAGCAGAGTGGCGTAATAATTGTATTAGTGTCGTGTCACTTGCTAATTAAGCAAAAAATTGGATAAATTAACGGTGCTACAGTCATGCTGAATTTAAATTAGTACTTAAGAGTTTTGTCCTTCCTTATTCTTGGCTCCTTCTGCAGTTCCAATTACCGTAATTGAGTGCTGATTTTGCTGAATAAGCAGATAGACGAGTAAGAATTGATTTGGGTATTTCACAAACATTTATGAAAGAAAAACAGAATCATACACATCATACTCAAAGCAAAGTACGGTAGAAGAGGTGTCCACTCTTCCTTTTTATTTCCTAAAAACAAAATGTACAAAATAACCGAACATAAGAAACAGACATTCTCGTTAATCGCTGCCTCTGTTTCCTGCTTTTTTTTTTTCGTTTTTTTTTTTTGGACTACCAATGGCCAGAGAGGGAAGTAATCTAATTGATTAGGCATGGAATGATACTTCATTACCAATTATAGAAAACAAAATCTCATTAATCGCTGCCTCTGTTTCCTGGTTTTTTTTTTTCGTTTTCTTTTTCTTGGACTACCAATGGCCAGAGAGAGAGGTAGTTTAGTTGATTATGCATGGAATGACACTTCCACAGTACAATCATAGCAAAGGTGGCCTTATTACCGATTATAGAAAACAAAAACTCCCATGTTGATGATATTCCCTACTACTGACTCGTTTCTCCCTTCCTTTTTTTTTCTTTTTTTAGACTGCCAAGTGTTAGAGAGAGAAAGTAATCAAGTTGATTATGGAAGACACTTCGAATGTACAATCATAGCAAATTGGTCTTAAAAGAATCCATACTGGGGCTGATTCGAGAGTTGAAAGGGAGGCAAGAAGGGGGAGCTAGAGGGAAAGGAAAAAAATATAAGTGAGGGAATAAAAAAATATAAGGAAGTAGAGGAAGGAGATAAAGAGGAAGGGTGAGAGGATGTAGAAAAGGAAGAAGTAGTCTAAGTTTCTAAAGATACACTGCTTTCTTCTCACGCGAGGGGTATTTGGGGTGGGGGGATTACCGGCAGTGGGGGGTGGGAGGTGGGTGGGCGCTGAGTGCAAATGGGGGACAATGAGCAGTTGCTGCACAGGAATCGGTCAACCGGGAAAAGGCGGTTTGGATTCAGACGCATAGTCAGAGGATCTACGACGGGTTCTCCTCCTGCAAGAGGAGTCATTAATCTTCTTATTTTGCGGCATCCTGATCGGTCTGGTCAAGGAAAGTGAAGATATGAGTTGCCGCCTCTGTCGTGATGATGAGTCATGGGAGTACCAGTTGCGATGGATGACAATCGTCTTTTTGGAAGTCCAGTGGTGATTGGTACTGAGTAGCATATCTACATGCTTGATCTATGAGTAATTGGAACCAAGGTCCAAACCCGGATTGGACGAGTTGGAGGAGGAAAATATGAGAGATGTCCGTCTTCATAAGTTGCTTGAATAACCCCTTGAAAAAGAATGCACGCGGCAAAACAAATCTCGGAAGTCCCCCAAGAGAAGGAAGGTTCTCTGCGAGGCTTAGCAACCCTCTGTTGATCGAAAATCTGCAGGAGGAGTCCTTTGCAGAGACCAAACCGAGCGAGAAGCAATGGACTGGAATGAGCAGATCATGCGCATGTTGCTCCTTGTAATTTGTCAGTGTCCTGCTTGCTCTTGACTGTTCTTGTGGTGATAAGAGACTGAGATTGTGAGTCCCGATAAACAACAAGGAGAGGAGGAGGTTAGAGTAGAATGAGTGAGAGGGGAGTTAAATAGCCTGGTCTAGCAGCAGAAAGGAGTATGCCTCATTTTGGAAAGTGCAGAATGAGGCGCTCTCAACGAATTTTAAGAGATCGCTGGTGAGAAGGTTTGAGTTGTATTTTCTTTCTACGAAGCGTGAGTGTTGCTGTGAAACTACGCGCTTAATTAGCTCGGGGCCGGTGCTTGAGTTTTTTAGCGCCACTCAAAACCTCGCTCGAGCACGCCTTGAGCGCCTCGAGCACGTTCACGGGAGGGCCTATGTGGTGTGTGTGAATGGTTGGCAGGCGGTGTGCGGGGTCCCAGGTCGTGGGGAGCTGTCAGGGGGGAGTTATGGCCTGCTGCCGACGGGTGGATGTCCTCCCTAAAAAATAAAAATAAAAACCGCAAACTTGAAGTTCCACACCGCGCTATTAAGCACGACGCGGATGAGCGTGCACTCATTCGCGTTTGTGCACGCTTGGCTGCTGAACCGCACGCTCATGTAGAGAGAGAGAGAGAGAGAGAGAGAGAGAGAGAGAGAGAGAGAGAGAGAGAGAGAGAGAGAGAGAGAGAGAGAGAGAGAGAGAGAGAGACAGAGAGAGAGTTGAAGCCCCCACGAAGAAGCGCAGAGATAGATAGATAGATAGATAGATAGATAGATAGATAGATAGATAGATAGATAGATAGAGAGAGAGAGAGAGAGAGAGAGAGAGAGAGAGAGAGAGAGAGAGAGAGAGAGTAACTGGCAGGGTCCCAGACAGGCTGAGACAGCGGGTGCGACGACGAAGAAGACGATGACGACGACAACGAAGACGACGACGAAAACGACGACAAGGGCGGGCGAGAACACTCGCGGTGATTTTTTTAAGCGTGCACTTACATTTTTGAGCGCGTGCCAAAAGATTTGAGCACACGCTCAAATCTGTGGAGGCGGAGCAAGGGGGCGGAAAGCGGTGATTGGGGGGTGGGGAGTGGCGATTCGGGGCGGGGAGGCTGCCTTCGCAGCACCCTGCTACTGCAGTGCAGCCCGTCGGCTAGAGGGGTCGGGGCCGGTAGGGGGGTTGGGCCCGGGGTGCCAGTTTGGGGACTTGGCGGAGGACCTCGAGCGATGGTGGGGTTTTTTGCTAGATTCAGACATTTGGCGGCTGGTTGTTCGGCAGGCCGGCCGGTGGGGGAGTCGGGGGTCGGTTGACGACGGGCTTGTGAATGACGGTTCAGTACACATTAACGGTTACATCAAATGTCAATGTTGGTCAGAGTACGGCAGATCAGATTGGACAAAAAAAAATAAAAAAAAATAAAACCGTAATATAGGTTTTCATTGACCAACTCAGTTGCTTAGTTGAGCACTTGACTTCATTCTTGC